GGTAAATGTATTTGTATGCTATTGCCTATATAGTTATTACTTATTATTTATTAGTAATTAGTTATTACTTATTACTATATTAAATTATCAATTAACATTGATATTTGATATCAATGTTATTAGCCTTTTTTGATCAGTTAAATTGGATACTGGGATGAATGTGTCAATTTTTTCATGACATCGGTATTTGTGAGAAAAAGTAGGTGTATGCAAAGTATTCATAATATTTTATAACAGGAGTGTTTGTGTACGTACCAGAGCCAGACTGCTAAGTAAAATCATTGTAATCACAGCTGTTTCGAAGTATTTGTTTTCGATAAGTTGAAATGTTTTCAATCTGAGCTGTCCCCACCCTAACCAAAATGGTGTTTCATCGTCGCCAGCCAGGAATGGAAATTTTTTATAACAGTTCGGTGGAAAACAGTCTTCGGGGTATTCTTCTTCCTCGAATACGTCTTCAACCATTTCGACAGTACCTTGTTCTTTGTATTCGTCGTCATTAATTTCTTCTGCAGCAATCCCGTCATTACCTCCCAAACCTAAAACAAGATTGACATTATTTCAAATAAAATATTTTAAGCGGCCAAACATTACACACCGTTTTGGTTGGTTTCGACGTCTTCCTTACTAGGATCTTTTTTTTCTTCAGCATTGAATAAGCTTCTTTTACTTCCTCTGTGGCTTTCGCTGTCGTAAGGATCATGCTCATGGCTTCCGTAAGATTTAGTACTATCAAGACAAAAAACACAATTTTTCATCAATGTTTCATAAATGTATATACGCAATGATTAAAGTATTATAGAACTACATTCAATTTGGCAAATTAAAATTATTTTCAACCTATATAGAAAGCAGTAGATTTTAAAAATATTCAGAAAAAAAAGTACGTGGAGAAATTTTAATTTTAATTTTTTTCTTCTGTAAAATATTATATAATATATATAAATAAAAAATTTGAGTGTTACCTTCTAGTATCATATTCATATTTATCCTTTAGGTAATAGTTCTCGTCGGTACTACTTTGGTGCATTCCAAACGAATTATACGAGCTACTAGTCGGTGGCTTCTTTTTCTTATTTTTTTCTCCACGTATGAGTAACTCCATTCCATCACCTATAGTCACATCTAGTTGTTCTTTTTTATTCCTATAAATTATTCCAGCGTCCAGGAGTTCCTCTGAACACAGAAATGAGCAATGGCTACTTTTAATTTCACACCATACATATAACAAACTATTAATATAGGTAGGTACTTACCACTACTGTATACACTCATCTCCAACTATATTATGTTGACCACTCTACTATACTATATTAAAAACTTAAACGATTACATTACTATTTTGATTGGTAAACAAATGAAAATATCATATGTTAGAAATAATGTAAATAACACGAGAGTTAACCTACATTGTAATCCGGACTGGCGTCCATGTTATTGATTTTATCGTTACTGAAAGAGGTCGCGGGAGCGCTCCTGGGACACATCCACTTCCTTTAAATGTAATAATATTATAAATATTATTGGTGTATTTTGGTTAATTTTTTACTCTGTTTTGATGATTTAAATATGTGCATGTAAATATTTTGGAAATTTATAAATGAACTATTTAATAAAATAATACCTATAAATTAAATATTTTACCCAGACACAGTGCATGTCCGCATTCCGTTTTCAAAAATCAGTTCTACCGTACCTACATTCAAAATATGACAGTTTTACTAAAACTTGGTACTAATTTTTAAAATTATAATTTAACCATTATTTGTATCAAAAACAAGTCGATTTGAATTGACAATATACATACTAGGTACGTAAAATATATGAACTATATATACCTATATCTATATATGTATAATTTATTGTGAAAAATGTCAAGAAATGTTTTTTCACGTTAGTATCAACATCATATACATATATAAGTAGGTAATAAATTTTTATAAAACAAAACAAGTGTCCAACAATTAACAACCTATACATTTTTAATTCCAACTCAATTCAATTAGTTCATTATTATTGATGACAAATTAATTTTGATGGATAATAATTAAAAATGTTAATATGTATTTTAATTATGATTCAAAACTAATTTATGTAATATTAAATAAACTTCCGATCTTCAGTCTGAATTTATGAAAGAATAGTCAATATTTTTTAAGAGCAGTATGATTAATGATGAATGATAACGGAACAGGAAGGACTGATAAGTGAATTTTGGTGCATAATATGAATAAGGTTTAATGATTCGACATTGTCATTATGATAGAACATTAACATAGACAAAATAATTTGTTAGTGTTAACCTACTAACTACTGTAGGTACATTAAAGTGACATCCACTTACCCACCTTTTTAAAGTTAAATATTATAGAAAAGAGGCATTAAATTTTCATTTACATAAATCAGATCGACATAGTCCAAAAAACATACGGACTAAACCTAGACTAGGAGATAAAGTATGTTTAAGTTTTAACTTATCAGACTTTTTTTAGGTTATTTTTTTATAGATGTCAATGAAATGCTATTTGTTGGGTCAAAAAGCTTGAAAATGTAATACAATACTTATAATATATTTTGCAATGGCAGTTGAAAAAAAAATTAAAAATACATCGTCACAATTTTGAACGAAAATGTGCAAATTACTTTGAGCTAGAAATTCATGAAAAAAATTTTCTTTAAATCAAAAGTTTTAAAATTTAATACAAGATTTCTTATAAGCTTGTGTACTTTTATAAAAAAAAAAATGTTTTAGAAAGTCAAATTAAATTTTTATGAGCGTTTGAAATTAAAATGATTAAAAAACGGATATTCACTCGATTTCTTAAGTAGCGATTTTTTTATTCAAAAATACTTTTTTTTTTTTTTTTTATTTTTATAATTTTTATTTACAATCTGTTACAATAAAATGAACAATAAGTAAAATAGATAATTTAATAAGTGGCTTGAGGAAAGGACGGATTTAAGAAGCCTTCCAGTGAAGACACTTTGTCTCAAAAATACTTAAAATTTTTATAATATTTTATCGATTTCTTGATAACATTTTCAAAATATTTTGACTCGTTTTCGAGCTGTTTATTGGCATTTTTCAATTTTCAATTATTTTAGTTTTATTTTTCTATAAATGTCAATAAAATGTTATCTGTTGGGTCAAAAAAAGTGAAAAATGAATACGATACTTCTTATATATTGTTACAATAGTAGTTGAAAAATATTAAAAATACATATACCTATAGAGTTTTTTTAAAAGCATTTAAAGTTCGATTTTTGACATTATTTATCAAATTTAAAATTTAAAAATGATTTTATAGTTAAACATTTATAAAATATTCAGCTTTTATAGCTAAGGATTAAAAATGGAAAACAAATTTCCAAGTAAGTAGGATATTCTCTAACCAAAATATCTCAAAAATATAAAAACACATTTTTTTATAGTTATTTAATGTTTAAATTTTGACGATATTACAAATTAAATAACCAAGAATAATGATTTTGGTTATATTTTGTTGTAATTTAATAATATTAATTCAACTTACTGGCTACCGTATTAATCATAAGTAATAACAATATAAATATAATATAATAAATATCCACCTGATAAACCTCTCAGAATCGTTTTTCGTATACAATGGTCAATGATATTAGGTACACATTAAATTCGAATTTTATACCATCCATTACAATAACCCACTATAGTAACGTACTGTACACCAAATACACACCCACATGCCCACCTTTTTAGAATTGTATATCACTTAAGTGTATAATATTATTATTAAACAATTGTTTAACTATAGGGGAACATGTGGCAAAGTGGGGTACCGGAGAAAAGCGGGAACATTGTATTATCTATTTATTTTGCCCCATGTTCCCCTATATACTAAATGGAGCAATGATTTAAATTTAGAAAATATCAACAATAGGAAATAAGCCATGTCATTCTTAAGACTTAACTCAAGCCCCTATAGAAATCTAAACTCAGAAATTATAAAGCCACATAAAATAAAATATGTCAAAATTATGAAATATTGAAGTAATATTATTTTTCTTTGGGTTATTGTTCTGGGACTTCAGTCAGAAAGATACACTGATGATCCTTATGCATATGAGATGGAAAACTAATTTATTATTCAATAACATTACAGTGAAGTTAATGTTCCAAAAATCGTATTGCGAAAAATAAAATAAATTGTGGTGATTAAAATAATGTAACGTAAAAAAATGATTTTAAATATTCAAATGCCTACTTTTCTTTGACGTATTTATGTATTTCAAGCATTGATGTAGGTACCTATTAAACATTTAAAACGTTAAAAGTATCGATAACCTTACATTGTATTCTATAGTATGTATTTAGGTCTGTAGACCGTGACATGAAACTAATCGAAAAATGAAATTAAATATAAGTATAATACCACATTATGGTTATTCAAGTGCGACTATCTTTCTCGCACGCTATTCGTAAAAAAGCTGATGTTAGGTGCTATATGCAGTATTGTTTTCTCTTTATTCAATTTAATTTTCAAACGAGCTTCGCTTAGAGGAGTTTTTTCCCAATTTATTTTTTTACTAGCGAAGTACAATATTATTATTCTGTAATCCGTATCAATTGTCAAGTAAAATGTCGCTAAGAATCGCCACCATTGACAAGCACATAAAATAAAAATATCAACAACAGTTAATCCACAACGCGTGCGTTGAGAAAAGAAACTCAAATTCAAGAACAAAACCAATACCGGGACACCATCCTGAAACTAATATATATTATAAGAGTGATCACTATGAATATGCCAGTCACTAAGAAGATGACAGTCGAAACGGCTGCGTAAATGGCAACGTTGCGTGGACGCCTGAAATCTACGATGAACGTCTGCCGACTGTTCGGGCTGGGACTCGAGGCCGACGGTGTCGTGGCCGCCGTCGTGGACGCGCTGATCGTGCTGGCCAATCTGTCGTACAGCGCGTATGGGTACGATCACGTGACGTCCGTCGTACAGCAGAGGATGCCGCTCGTGTGGGACATCACGACGGTGATGAGCGTGGTCAAGGTGTACACGTACCTGCTGACGCCACCTCTGATGTTGATCATGTGGCAGTGCAACAAGCGGTCGCTGTCGGACGTCGTGCGCAAGCTGGACCACGCCATGACAGAGACGGCCGTGGAGACCAGCCACTTGGCGCAGTTCGCTTGGTATTCGGCCGCATGGCTGTTGATGTCAGTGCTCACCGAGTACGCCGTGTACACCATGTTCCACGTGGACACCAATTTTGCGTACTTCACGATGACCGAGTACGGCATGATCGCCGTGTACAATGTATGGTCCAAGGTGCCACTGTTGATGTACACGTTCCTGATGGACACGATCCGGACGGCCATCCGGGACATCAACGGTCGGCTGACCACGGTGGCCGAATGGCGGACGTACCGCGGCCGGTGGGATGATCTCAGACGGGCGGCCGTCCATCTGGCCCGGTACCAGTTCGGCGTCACCATCGTCGCGTTCGTCGTGTGCACGATCGCAGAGATCGTGTTCTACGCGTTCATACTGTACTATTTCGGTTACAATCACAAGAACTTGTGGCGAATATTAATTTACTTCATCAACGCGTTGTTCAGCGCTGCCTGGATGTTTGAGGTCATCCGCATGACGAAAAACTGCAAGCTAGAGGTTAGGTCCTCCGGAACATTAATTATATAGTTTATCTATACTAATTTTATAAATAGATAAAGTTTATGAGGTTGTAGGGGGTAATCTCTGGAGCTACTGAACTGATTTCGAAAATGATTTCACCATCAGAATGCCACATTATCCCTGAGTAACATAGATTAATTAAAAAAGGGTAAATTAGAGGTCCAACCCGGGGAGGTGCTAAAACAGTGATTTTGAGATTTAAGATGGAAACGTCTGCAGTTTGTAAATGCTTGGTATTTTTTTTAATAATTATTATTCATAAATAATTATAAAATTATAATTATAATTGATATAATCATCAAAACGATACGTCTGTTGGCCCAGTGGCACTTCTATAATATGTATTTTAGTACAGAATATGTAAGGCTTACATTTAACAGAGTTTAAAAAGAGGTAAGTCCACTGGTATTTAATTTGTCACGGACAACGCCGTACAGGATCAGCTAGTGATAATGTTAAGTTGTTCCTCAAAAAAAAATTATCTTAATAATATTAACAATATTTATTTTAAAATCTTGAATAACTTACTATCGTAACGTCTTATGTCTCGGTTACTCAGTGACGCAGTAGGCATCTTGGTACTTGTGTACTAGTACTCAGTAGTTTAAAATATTTTTTACTTTCTGAACTTGTTCAAAAGTTTTAGAAAATGATACGCATACTTATCATGTTATTTGCATGTTTACAATACATTTTATGCAAGTCTTATCCTAGAAATAATTCAAACGAATTTCAAAAATTCGCACAAAACGTTAAAACATTAATTTGTAGTATTTTATGTATTTTTTGTCATATTATATGCACCTAATTCAAAAACTAATGATACAAAATATCTACTTAGACTACTTTAAATATTGAATAATTAGGTTTTTTTTCTAGAACTTTTAAAAATGTTAAATATTATGCGGTGACCTCATTTGCAGTCGATTATACGCTACAATTATATAATGATTATTAAAATAAATAATATAATTATGGGCATAATATAATCATACCACTTAATGATCAATGTAAATTGAAAATTTTTTAAAATTTATAATTTAATTTAATGTTATAAAAAAATTTGAATTCTTAATATTATAATGACGAGTTAAAAATGTATATATATTATATATATATTATTATATATATTATGTTTATATAATTATGCCCATTTTATATTCAAATATCCTTTTCCGAGTGCTTTAAGAACTGAATACTTTTTACGAAATATATTTTGCTAATATGCTCAATAGGTTACCTTGATTTCTATTATAGATAATACTTGTTCATTAGTTGTATTAATGTATGTTTTTATCTATTTATTAGCTACTGAAAACCCAAAAAGTCTTGAATTCGATTAACATTAACATCAATTCAGATCACAAACAGGTAAATTGTGAATATAAAATAAGATACAGTAATTAAATATCGAGTAAAAAGTAACCTAATATAAAGTAAGATAAACAATAATTTATATTTGATCCTTCCTATTGGGACTTTTAATTATAATAATAATATGCACAACACACAAATAATGCGAAGTTTGGTATTTGGTCCAAATTGTCGGTGAATTGTTTGTTATGGATCATTCCTGCCTATAGTTAAATTCTTAGATCGAAATAATCTATGTATCAGGTATATAATATTAATCAGATTTTATTGGTATACCTGTTTAAGTATACTGAATATATATATTTAATATCATACCTACTCTGAATCAAAATACTTTTTTGAAAAATATCCATGTATATCGAACAGTAAAGTTAGCTGATGGTTTTTATTTATGATAACTTAAAGTTTGGATATAGGACTATAGGAACAAGATACTACCTATTGTAGTTCGCGAGACTCAAAGCTCCTCTAATAGGTAATACTTATAAATAAATACTATTCATTCAATATTCGACATTTATCTACAATTATTTTTAGAAAAGTATTCTATATCAGATTATTAAATTAATGGTACAAGTTTCCATTTAGAAATAATTATAGAGGCTTCACTAACAAATATTAGAGTGAGCACAAAATGTTGTACAACAAATGCAAAAAATTCAACTGTTAAAATAATGATCCTATATCTATAATTAATGCATAATATATTATATTCAGAATTTATATTTAAGGTCACTAATGACAAAACGAATCAATTAAAAATTAATTTAATTTCTGTTGCAAAATGTTACATTGGATTTTGAAATAACCAATATACATTAATTTTTAATCGGTAACTTATTATTTTCAGATAAAATATGCTTCTTTACATATGTTACACGCAGATTTCAATTTCATGCCATGCAATATTTTTGAAATGAATTACAGAAGTCTGAGATCAGTATGTTACAATTTAATAAAAATAATCATGATAATTTTAATTTAAATGTATTTATGTGTTTAAGATTGCTACATTAATAACAGCATTTCTGATTTTTCAAATTCAGATGAAATTTTCCTAAAAAATACCAGATACCATACAATTAGATTAAATCAGAATAACTGTAAATATTGGTTGTAAGTATATACTTTTTTTAAAATAACAAAACAGTAGTGTTATTTATTCTTAATGTTTATTATAATAATATAGGTATCTTTATAATATTACTAAGTATAATGTATAATATATTTTTAATCACTGAATATAAATTATCCAATTAACAACAATATTATTTAAATATATTTGTGATATTCCTAAAAATATAATAACATAATATTATAGTCGTCTAAAAAGATTAAAAAATCCGTTTAAACTGACAATAAAACAGCATGATATAATGTAATTTTAGATTTTGGTTGGAACGATGAGTCATTGCCCATAGGTTTAATAATATATATTTTTTTGTATCTACAGACAACTTTTAGGAGCAGGAAAAATAGCTTCTAATTGTAATGTTGACTGTGGTTTCAATAAGATAAATTAAATCTAAATGATATTTTGGGGGTTAAAAGTAAAAATTTAACACTAATTTTCTTTATAATAGGGAAATGCTAAAAACAGTGAAACTTTAATAATTATCTACGCAACACCAGTTCACGATAAAATTAATTATGTTCTGATATATTCATATATTATCAAATATTCTTTGTAATAGAGGTTCTGATCAGAAATTTTTTTTTATTTTGGTACAATATGATTCATAATTTAATACAGATTTAACTTATCCGTTACAGGGGCCTACTCAATGACGAGATTCGCTCGAAATCTACTCTACATCAGAATGAGTTGAATTTGTACGTTATCTTAGTAGGTGGTAAATAGTAGTTAAGAGTTAAAATAATTTAATATAATGAAGGATTCGTTAATTCAGAATAAAACAATACGAACAGATTTCCTTACAAAAGTTAAATATAATATAGACTATAACATTACTGTAAAACATTTAACATATTCGATAAATATGTAATTTAAATATATTGACAACAAACTACAGCTAGCTTGGACAGGAAAATGTCACTATTTGCTGAAACCAATAGGGTATCACGATGTGTAGAAGTTTCTTGTCCACAACATTGTAAAAAGTATGTCATTTAAAATTAATTTTTAATTAAAACATATAAAATAATAAAACCGGTTATAACATTTTAAATGCCGAATGTAGAAACAATTTCATTGGTTTTCTATGACCTATAGCTATTTGTTCTTTTGATTATAGTTTTTGTTGGAAAATTAAAAAAAAAAACGAGCCATTTCTCTAGATTGCATATTAAAGAAAATTTTGTACACACCTACAAACTAGATACATTCAATTAATTTCTTACACAATTCATTTAGCTATACCTTTATAAGACACCCATTTTAATTTACAAACAATTCCTATATGACAGTTAAACAAGCATGGTGTATTACTTCAGTAAGAAAACCTCTACATTATTGATTCTAAATAAACTGCTGCAATCTTGTTTATTAAGTATAAGATAACTTTTTTTATATATATGTAAGAGGTATTAAATAATAAATATTTAATATTGTATACTATTTTATAATACTTAACACATTGATGGTCACCCTATGTAAGTGGCTTGTCGAAGGTATTATTTTGGAGCAATTGCTCCTTCAAAATTGTTGGTGGATGACTAAGTATATTGTAGAAATATCATATCCGATTATACAAATCGTTACAAATATACACATACGATTTCGTATTTTGTAAATTTTTAATTTAAACTTTTTTGCTGAGATGGAAATTCCGTTATATACATCATGGTGGGTGGGTGGGTAATCTTGTATACATTTTTATTCCTCATCAAAAATGAGTTCAATAAGCCACTGTACCATGTTATAGCAGTCATGTTTTATAATTCATAGGATTCAAAATACCATGAATGCCATAGCATTATGCCATTATCCATACCATGAATGCCATAGCATTATGCCATTATCCATACCTTTTTCCAAAGCATTGGGCATTGGCCAATTCAATGTTAGGTACACTAAATTGACAGAATTTGATGTAATGCTATACAACAGTCGTGACCATCAAAGTGTTAAATTATTTTTGATTGTATTTACTTCATTTATATTATATTTTTCATATAGTTTTGTATATTTTTTGTTGTTCAAGCATTAAAGTATATTAATAATTTAAAACGTCAAAAGTATCATGAGCCATACATTTTATTATATAGAATGTATAGGTCTGTCGACCTTAACATGAATACAATAGAAAAATGAAAGTCAATATTATGCAGTATGATAATAATATAATATAATATATAATATCACATTATAGCAATCTAGTGCAAATGTATTTCGAGCACATTATTTGTAAGAAAGCTGGTACTAAAATATAGTTTTTTTCCTCATTCGTTTCAATGATGAACCGGACTCCGTTCACAGCATATTTTTTATCAAAAATGTACAATATTATTATTCTGTGACCCGCAACTGTGATTAGTAAGAATACTAAGAATCGCCACCATGGACAAGCACATAAAATCCAATTATCAACAATACACAAAGAGTAAGCCCACACGACAAGAAACATGAAAAAAAAAAAAAATTGAAGAACAAAACAAATCCATATAAAGATTATGCTGATGATGATTATGATGATGATCACGACGATGACAATCAATACGGCTGGGTAAATGGCAACGTTGCGTGAACGCTTGAAATCCACGATGAACGTCTGCCGACTGTTCGGGCTGGGACTCGAGCCGAAAGGTACAGTGGCCGCCATCGTGGACGCGCTGATCGTACTGGCCAATCTCTCGTACAGCGTGTATGGGTACGATCACGTGACGACCATCGTGCAGCAGCGTATGCCGTTTGTGTGGGACATCACGACGGTGATGAGCGTGGCCAAGGTGTACACGTACCTGCTGACGCCACCTCTGATGTTGATCATGTGGCAGTGCAACAAGCGGCCGCTGTCAGACGTCTTGAGCGAGCTTGACCTTGGTATGACCGAAACGGCCGCGGCTACACCTCTAGCGCCGTTCGCTTGGTACTCGGTCATGTGGCTGTGCATGTCCGTGCTCATCGAGTTTGCTGCGTACACCATGTTCCACTTGGACACCAATTTCGCGTACTTCACGATAACCGAGTACGGCATGATCGTCGTTTACAACGTATGGTCCAAAGTGCCACTTTTGATGTACACGTTCCTGATGGACACGATCCGGACGGCCATCCGGGACATCAACGGTCGGCTGACCACGGTGGCCGAATGGCGGACGAACCGCGGCCGGTGGGATGATCTTAGACGGGCCGCCGTACATCTGGCCAGGTACCAGTTCGGCGTCACCATCATCGTGTTCATCGTGTGCACGATCGCAGAGATCGTGTTCTATGTGTTCATGCTGTACCTGTTCGGCTACAATCAAAAGAACGCACTGAGAATATCTATTTACTTCATCAATGCGTTATTCAGCGGCTCCTGGATGTTTGAGGTCATCCGCATGTCGAAAAACTGCAAATTAGAGGTGGGCTCGTTGCGATACATTCATACAAAATCTCTATATATTCTATTTTCTTATCTTTTTAATATAAAGTTTATATCCTCCTAGAAAAATAAAATATATTAATGATAATAACAATAATAATGGACTTAAATAACTTTCGCAATGAATTTTATTGTCTTGGGTTCTTAGAAACACAGTAGTAACCCGACATATACAATCGCCCAGTCCAAAATTTTCTGAACCCATTCAAATATCATAGCAAATCGAAATATAAGCTTGTCTAGTTGTTTATATGTTAGTAGTCTATTTAAATATTGAATACAAATTATATTCTAGAAATGTATTCTTCCGAAATAAAAAAATACGCTCGAAACGTTCAAACATTAATTTATTATATTTGATATTTTGATGTTATGGTTTATAGAATACAAAAAATTATGAAGAAAAATATCTACCCAATGTTCTTTAAATATTTTTTTATTCTAAGACATTTAATGATGTTTAATCTTATGCTGGGATCCTGTGCCCTATCTCTTTCTAAGAATATTTAAAAGTAATTTATTCCTTTTCTATCAATATTACATTTCAAAGTTGTTTAATAAACTACAATAAATTTCTCTTGAACCATAACTAGTTTCTATAATTTAGATTTTAGATAATACTTAATCTTTAATTATAATAATTTATATCTTTTATCTGTTTATTAGCTACTGAAAACACAAAAAGTCTTGAATTCGATTAGCATTAACTTCAATTCAGATTACAGACAGGTAAATAATAAATATAAAGTAAGATGGAGGAAAAAATTACTAAAGTAACATAATTATTTATTTTATATCTAATTTAATTAACACTATAAGTACCTTCGTATAATGGCTTATAAAGGTTAGGCCTCTTATCAGGGCTTTGAATTATATTCACCCCAAAATAATGAGATGTTTGGTATTTGATTCAAACGTTCAGTTAAGTTAGCTGAAAACTTATTATTTTCAGATAAAATATGCTTCTTTACATATGTTACACGCAGATTTCAATTTCATGCCATGCAATATTTTTGAAATGAATTACAGAAGTCTGAGATCAGTATGTAACAATTTCATAAAAGTAATCACGATGGTTTGAATATAAATGTATTTATTTGTTTTAAGATTGCTACATTAATAACAGCATTTCTGATTTTTCAAATTCAGATGAAATTAACCTAAAAAAAAACCAGATGCCATACAATTAGATTAAATCAGAATTACTGTAAATATTGTTTGTAAGTATATACTTTAATAACAAAACAGTAGTGTTATTTATTCTTAATGTTTATTATAATAATATAGGTATAAATATAATATAAATATGTATATTATATTTTTTTGGTGGTAAAATTTATAAAGAATTTAAAGAAATGATTGTACGTATCTATACAGGCTATACGTACATTCTTTTTTTTTCATTTAATTCATTTAGCTATACCTATAATTTATAAAACACCTGTTTTATTTTACAAACAATTCCTTGTGACAGTTTAACAACCATAGTGCATTACTTCAATAAGAAAACTTCTAAATTCTTAATTCTAAATAAACTGCAGTAAGCAATAGAATAGAAACATTTACTTTATTAAGTATAAGATAACTTTATTTTGTATATTTATAAGTTTAAAATAATTATTATTAGCTTACCTATGTTATGATATAATACTTCAATTATTTTTGATTGTATCTACTTAAATTGTATTATATTTTTCTAATAGTCATGTATATTTTTGGTTTTACATGCATTAATGTATTAAAAATTTAAAATGTCAAAAGTATCTTGAGTATCATACATTTGATTAAATAGTTTGTATGTATATTTAGCTCTGTCAACCGTGACACTACCTAATGTAATCGAAAAATGAAAGTCAATATTATATATTGTAATATCACATTGTAGTATAATTCGAGTGCGATCATCTTTCTAGCACGATATTCGCAAGCAGGGTGGTACTGCAATATAGTTTTTCCCTTATTCAAATGAGCTTCGTTCAGATCAGTTTTTACCCAGTAAATTTTTTAAAGGGATGTACGGTATCATTATTCTATTATCCAATTTAATTATCAAGTAAAATGTTGCTAAGAATCGCCCCCATGGATAACCAGTAACCACATAAAATAAAATTGTCAACATAATACAATGGGTTAGCCCAAAAGTCAAGAAACACGAATAAAAAAACATTGAAGAAAAATAAATGGCAGAACACCGTCCTCAAACCAATATATTAGAACAATAACCAATTTATGAGGATTATGATGATGATGATGATGATGATGATGATGATGATGAAGATCACTACGATGACAGTCAATACGGGTGTTTAAATGGCAACGTTGCGTGACCGCTTGCAATCCACGATGAACGTTTGCCGATTATTCGGGCTGGGACTCGAGCCGAACGGTACAGTGGCCACCGTCGTGGAAACGCTAATCGTATTGGTCAATCTGTCGTACTGCGCGTACGGGTACGATCACGTGACGTCCGTCGTGCAGCAGAATATGCCGTTTATGTGGGACATCACGACGGTGATGAGCGTGGCCAAGGTGTACACTTACCTGCTGGAACCACCGGCGATGTTAATCATGTGGCAGTACAACAGACGGCCACTGTCAAACGTCTTGCGAGAGATTGACCTCGGAATGACCGAAACGGCCGCGGCTACACCACTAGCGCCATTCGTTTGGTACTCGGTCAAGTGGCTGTGCATGTCCGTGCTCATCGAGTTTGCCGCGTACACCCTGTTCCACTTGGACACCAATTTCGCGCACTTCACGATAACCGAGTACGGCATGATCTTCGTTTACAACGTATGGTCCAAAGTGCCACTTTTGATGTACACGTTCCTGATGGACACGATCCGGACGGCCATCCGGGACATCAACGGTCGGCTGACCACGGTGGCCGAATGGCGGACCTACCGCGGCCGGTGGGATGATCTCAGACGGGCGGCCGTCCATCTGGCCCGGTACCAGTTCGGCGTCACCATCGTCGCGTTCATCGTGTGCACGATCGCAGAGATCGTGTTCTATGTGTTCATGCTGTACCTGTTCGGCTACAATCGAAAGAACGCACTGGGAATATCCATTTACTTCATCAACGCGATGTTCAGCGCCTCCTGGATGTTTGAGGTCATCCGCACGTCGAAAAACTGCAAGCTAGAGGTGGGCACGTTCCGGTATATTTATATAAAATGTCTAAAATATATTCTATTTCCTTATCTCTATATTCTCTTGGAAATAAAATATATTGATAAATAATAATAGTATCAATTGTAATGGACTTAAATAACTGTCTTGGTTTTTCGGTAACTCAGTAGTGGTGTAAGAAATATTTATATTTTCTTATTTGCTGAACCCGTTCAAACGTTTTAACAAATTGAGATGCACACTTGTCCAGTTATTCTTATGTTTTGAACAAATTTAAGACTAAATTTTATTCTAGAAAATCATTCTCCTGAAATTCAAAAATGAGCACAAAACGTTGGAACGTTAATTTATTGTATTTTATGTCATGTTTTATGTTTAGGTACCTAATAATAGTTTACATTCAAAGATTCTTTTTTCCGCTTAAGAACCTTTTTACGAGATATATTTTTCTCAGGATTGATAACTGATTTTTTTTAACTTAGGTTATATGTAGATAATACTTATGCATTCATTATAAAAATGTATATCTTTTATCTATTTAATTGCAGCTACTGAAAACACAAAAAGTCTTGAACTTGATAACCATTAACTTCAATTCCGATTACAGACAGGTAAATGATAAATATAAAGTAAGATGGAGTAATAACTTACTAAAGTAACCTAATTATTTATATTTTATCTAATTTAATTAACAACAAGTTAATACGCGTATTATGGCCATAAGCTTTTATGTTTGAACAATTAAAAGGTTCAACTGGCTTCACCAACTAAATAAAATATTCGAATGAATATATTAAAGTTAATATAAATTCTTGGATTTTCTGTTAGGGTAAATCGTTCAATAAATCCGATAATGAATTTAATGATTGTTAAAATAATTATCATATATCTATAACGAATGCATATTATATTTATAATTTGTATTTAAGATCACTAACGCCAACACGTAACTAGTAAAAATTAATTTTAAATATTAGGCTGTAATGTCGTCAGTTATCTACCATTAATCGTAACATTTTAATATTTTACAAAATAAATCTAGGTATCTCATTAGTTATTTTTATAAGAATAGATAATAACGGAATGAATTGATTTTATAAATAACTATATATTTTAATTTATAGTCTTGTGATAACTTTTATTTTCAGATAAAATATGCTTCTTTACATATGCTACACGCAGATTTCACTTTCATGCCATGCAATATTTTTGAAATGAATTACAGAAGTTTGAGATCAGTATGTTATAATTTAATAAAAATAATCATGATGATTTAAATTTAAATGTATTTATTTTTTTAGATTGCTACATTAATCATAGCATTTCTGATTTTTCAAATTCAGATGAAATTATCCTAAAAAATACCAAATGCCAGATGAACTCCTGTAAATATTATGTGTAAGTATATAAGTTTTTAAAAATAGTAAATACATTTTATCTATACTATTCATACTGATTAGTGATTAATGATTATAAGAATAATATATAGGTATATACTTCGTATATACTTCGTATATTCGCGTACTAGGTATATAAACTATTTATATTTTTTTAGTATATATTTAAAATTCAAATTTTTATAAAGTTTATCAATATCTCAACAATTTTCAAATTATTTTTGAATTAAACGAACGATTGTTAATTCAAAACAAAACAATTTGAAACCCCGCAAATTTCCTTGCAATATTTAAATAAATAGCATCACAGTAATAAACTTAAGGGGATTGGAAGCGGCGATTATCTGTCTTTGTCTAACACACGTGCAAGTGTGCAACATAGGATTATAGACGTGTTCTATTGCCAACTGATTAATCTAGTGAAGCGATAAGAACTCTGTAAACAGATTTTAATTTGTCGTCAAGTCTACTTGAGATCGAATTCCCCACATTTTTGATATTATCACCAAAAAATCATAAAAATGATATATTAAAAAGAGTAATTAAAAAATTGCCATATTTCAATTTTTGGGGAAGTTTTAATCAAAATATCAAAAATGTGGGAAAGTCGATCTCAAGTAGACTTGACGACAAATTCAATCTGTTTTTCAGAATTCTTATCGCTTTCACTAGATTAATCGGTACGTTGGAAATAGAACACGTCTATAATCCTATGTTACACGTGTGTTAGACAAAGACAGAAAATCCCCGCTTCCAATTCCCTAAACATATTGAATAAAAAAGTAATTAGAAAATATTGACAAGAAACTACAGCTGGCCTAGCCGGAATAATTTCACTTTTTACTGAAAACAACGTTAGCCACGGTAAATACTTATTTTTATCATAATATAGGTAGGTAGGTACTAAAATCTCACGAATGACGAGACTAACTTGATTTTAAAAAATGCTCATTTCGTAATGAATCCTTAATTTTGTACCGTCTTAGTTCACTATATTATGTTATCAACTAAAAAAAATGTTTATCACTAGTTCACAATTCTAAGCTCATCATTATAAAAATATCTATTTTTTTTAACCCTTATAATATTTATATCTCAATAACTTATATTACTCCTGATTAGGAATACCTACAAATAATAAATACTTAGTTAAATAATTTATATTTTTATAATTCGTTTGTAACAAATATTTACACACTTGTATTATTTCAAGTAGTTTATGTAGAATATACATCGTAAAAATAACATTACTACAGTAGAATCATTTTAAAACTAAATGTACATTGTTCAATATTCAACATCAGACAGTTTAAATAATGATGATAACTTTAATATGATAATAATATTTATTCTGGTAATCAATATTTTTTGTAACATAATACCTATTTTAAAAGTTCAATAAGCAGCCTAAATTCTTCTTAAGTACTATGTAATCTTTATTTTTTATATAGGGCCACTCTAGAAGCTATTTGGTTGTACGTGACTGCAGCTGTTCCTGAATAGTTTTACAACGTAGAGTTAAGACTTTTAATTTCAACTTTTTTTGTATTATTTAAATAAAAAAAAAAAATGATTTTTAAATTTGTAATTATTTCAATTTTTATTACGTATGCCACCGGGCAGAGTAGTAAATCAAACTACCAATATAATGAAGACAATCACGTCAAGGTTTGCTCTTATTTTAATACGTATTTTAAAAGTTGTATACTTGAAACTATTTACAATAACACACATTTTGAGTAGGAATTTTCAGAACCAGCACTTAACAGCAAAAGTGACACAATGCCCAACTCATATGGAGGAGGGAATAGTGTTTATTTTACGAATGGTCTTCCAATAAATTTTGACTCCAGAAAAAAATGGCCAAATTGTCCATCGATCGGTCATATTTATAATCAAGGAAACTGTAGGTCGAGTTATGCTATAGCTGCAGCTTCTGCTGTATCTGATAGAATATGTATCCAGTCCAATGGAACGAAAAATCCTATAATGTCTGCACAGCAGATTATTTCTTGCTGCTATTTGTGTGGACATGGATGTAATGGCGGATCATTATTCGAGTCGTGGGATTATTACAGGAGACATGGGTTTGTGTCAGGTGGTGATTATAACTCCAACCAGGTATTATTATATATCAATATATCGTCCAACAAACCAGAATAATTACTAAATTTACTCCACATTATATTCATATAATAGTTCACAGTGTCACTATAAAGTTAACAATAATTATCAATTTTAGAATATTTGGCATTCAAAAATTTAAATAATCAGTGAACAAAATATTACCTTGACGTCAATCTTATAAACTACACTATAGGTACCGGATCTGAATATAAAATATTAGCCGTTAAAATAATTTAACGGTTAATATTTTATTGGTAATTATTACCAATCGATTTAATAATAGAAAAACTCACCATGATCAAACGAAATAAACTTACTGTCTTAAACATTTTAAAATTGTATTACCTATAATATTTAAATTATACAGTTAGTTTTTAACTAAAATGTACTTGGTTTATAATAAAAACGCTTCAATAATTTTAAATTCTGAATGTAGAAACAGACACATTGGAATTCTAACCTATATTTTTGTTCTCTTGATTTATATTTTTTTTGGTGATACAATTTAAAAACAAACGTGTAGCTTTAGAACGAAATTGAACATTAAAGTAAATTGTGTATGTACCTACACGTTATAAGTATATTTAATTATTGTTATCAAACAATTAATTTAGATTTCCAAAACACCCATCTTAATTTACATTATTTTGATCAATTATATTATTGTTTTTTATAATTTTGTATAGTTCTATGATTTATGAGTAACAATAATATGATTTAATGGTTACGAAAATTGTATTGTATATTCACTGTTATGTAGGTATTTGATATTCATATTATTTTATATTTATATTATCATATACGAATCTCGGTCACGGGCGGCACTTCTCTCCGGGTAGATATATATTATCTGGAGAGAGGCCGCCATCCCCGATCGGGCATGGCAGAAACCTACGGGTGCCCAATTTGAAATTCTGCCAAGCTAAAACACCCGTGGTTAGAAAAACCTACAGTACCCTCCCCCGCAGTTAAAAACCACACAATTGCCTAAGTTTCAGCGAATTCATTAATAATTAAAAAAAATAAATATTATACATAGGTACTATATACTTTTTAATTAAAAATTAACTCCTAAAAGTGAATAGGTAAACATCACCATCAAGATGAATTTGAAATAAAATATTATAACAAAAAAAAATTGTATTACATTTAAATTACCTAAATACATGAAGTACCTATCACATCCAATCCTGGCAACTCTTGGACGCTCTAAGTTTTTGATCCAACGTGAAAATTAATTTCTTTTTTCATACTTTTATTCATTCAAAATTACAAAACTATTATATAATGAGATTTTACTTTTTAGGGCTGTCAACCATATACAATCCCACCATGTAAACTAATAAATGAAAAACCACCTAGATACAGTTGTACGACATATAACAGAGAGGAAACACCAACGTGTGAAAAAAAGTGTTATAACCCAAATTACTACACTTCGTTCAAAACCGATATTTATAAAGGTAGATAATATAATACTATTTAGTATTTTATATTTATGTATAGATTATATATTATGAAATAATTATAGGATATAGTTTGATTTATGTGATTTTCATATAAGTAGTTATGTTTTAAGGTTTCATAATTTTTTAAATCTTAACATAAATTGATTAATACGTTTTAGATAAAACTCTAAATGTTAAGCAAAATAATCAAACAACCATTGATCGAAAAATAATAACACAATTACTTTTACAAAAAAACGTTTATTTATAAATTCATAGCCAACAATAGGATATGTAGTTATTGTTTGGATCAAAAAAATCAAAAATATCGTAGGTATCGTGACTTTATTATAGGTACATTTTAAACTATGTAAGATTGCTATGAACATTTTCTCTGTTTTCAGCAAAATAAAAAAAGAATTGCCAAATTTTTAAAATGTTTACCGTTTTACATTTTAAACTGCTTAATATTATTTATATACTAACTGGATATCTCGGTTTCGCCCCTTTGCAGTTTTTTTTTTTTTTTTGTGGAAAATCTTATTTAGTAAATACGTTAATTATGTGTATCTCGGTTAGAGTGTATCTCAGTTTTAGTGTAGGTACATCAATTTACGGACAAATCAGCACCAATGTACCTAGCTTTATAAAACAATTCGACATAGATGGGCAACCGCAAGTCACATCGTTGATTTAGCTCTTGGTATATTTTTTAGCGTGGTCTAAATTACTTACTCTCTAAACGTTTCTGACTTCTCTAAAAACAATCTCTGAGATTTTCGTCTAATTCAATTCAGTACTTTTTGAGTATATAGGCTGCACACATACGTTTAGTTTTAAGATATTGTTTTTTAGTTTGAGGCCATAAGCGTTACAATTTTAAGCATACTCGTGCCTGATCTGCCCGATTAACTTGTTACGGGCAAAGTAGACTTTTGGGCAATGTGAACATTGCCCGGGCATTATGGTACTGCCCGATTATGGTGGGCAATGTAGGCAAAATTATACATTGTCCAGGCTGTATAGAATTGCCCAGTCTAGTTGGGGCAATATAAACCAAAAGTTTTTATATTATAATTATAAACATTTCTAATCTTATCGATCTTGTTAATTACTTTATTATTTGAATATTATTATTATTAACTTAACTATTTATTTTTACAATTATCATTATATTTTTTATTACAATTACATCAAATAATACTTAAATATCATCATATTAATTATTTATTTTTGCAATTATTATTAGAATGGCATTTTGAATTGCATTTTTTCCCTGCCGCTTTACATTTACATTTTTTATTTGAACATTGTTGGGTACAATTACACCTATCAAACCCCTGTCCTCCTAAATTTGAATATTTCCTCGCTGCTTCTCGTAATGTAATTGTTAGATCAGGCACCTCCTCTACAGTAACCAATTTTTCTTTGCACATAGTAAACTGGTTACGACTATATGTGTGTTCCAACTTTCCTTCGGTAGTTCCTATCTTATAGTTATCGTCATGAACTAAAATAATAAATAAAAATATTAAAATGATATGTATTAAACTTAAATGTATAATAAAATTTGCGTTTTACCTGCTAGAATAACTCCAAGAATACAACGAAGGTCGCTGCGAGCTCTGTCTACATCAGGTATTTTGATTTTGACGGTTTCACCCACTTTTGCCTCACAAAATCTTTTTTCGGATGCTTTTTTCATTCGATTAGCTTGAGTTTTTAAATTTACGACTGACTCTGTTCTTACAGCAGTTATTTTATTTATTCTATTATCTATTTTTTCTTCTTCATTTTTTTCTTCAATCAATGTTTCATCAACTTCACAATGATCACCAGTATTCATGGATGTAATAGCTGCCTCTAAATCTTCTTCAGTTTTTAATTTATTAATTATTGATATTGGAAGTACCGATGATTTTAATCCAATTTTAGCGCTACATCCAAACATTGCTTCATATGGACTGCATTTTATTCCATGATGTAACGATCGATTTTTCATCAATTGGACAAATTTTAGTCCTTCACTCCATTTTTTTGTTTTATTGTCTTGTAACCAAGTGGCAAGTATGTTTTCCACATCTTGATTGGCTCTTTCGACGGACCCTTGACTTTGCGAATGTCTCGGTTTTCCGTGTACAATTTTTAAATCTTCCCACATATTACATAATTCGTTTATTATTTTATTTACGAATTCTCGGCCATTGTCACTTTGTAGAATCGCTGGTGCGCCAAATGTTGTAAAAATATCAAGAAGTACATAAGCTACTTCTTTGGCACGTTTATGCGTTAATGGGCGAAGCAAAACAAATTTTGTTAAATGGTCCTGATACACTAAAATAAATTTATAGTTTCCGTCAGGTTGTGCTTGCATATCTATAAGATCAATTTGACATCTCGAATTCAATTCATTTGAGATGATTGGTTTTACAACAAGACCTTTCTTTGCAGTACTACCTTTTTTTTGACAAGATATGCATAGATTTAAATATAACATAATTGATTCTCTTGTAATGTTTTTATATTTTTTATTAAGCTCATATTCCATACGGTTTCGTCCACCATGACCGATAGTTAAATGAGTATCATGAATAATATTAAATAATTCTTCATTAAAAACATAGTACTTAAGATCATTACCTTCATTACTCACTGGAACAATTAATTTTTCCATGTCAGATACTGTTATTACATCATATTTTTTCAAAAGTTTATGGCCTCTTGATTTCAGTTTAAGTTGTTTTACTTCAGATATTAATTCATCGTATTTAGTTTTAGTTAAATATGTACTATTAACATTTTTATTTTTTAATGCAATTTCTAGATTTTTTAAATATTGCCCTTCCATTTCAATTAATTTAGTTTAAATACCACACACGTTAATACAGCGAACACTACACTAACACTACGACGTTATTACTAACGACTTTCAACCGGGCAGTATTAACAACTCACATTTTGTACGATTCAATGATTACGATAATAATTATTGTACAATATCTAAAAGGTAAAACGGATTTACCGATAATATAATCTTGAAACGACGATAATTGACGAGATAATATTGAGAGTTTTGTATATTGGTACCTCGTGGCTCATACTAGTATAGGTATTTGAAATACTAACAGACAACGGTTTCATAATATTATAGTTGATAGTTTAAGTTACAATGTCTAATTTACTACGGGCAAAGTATACATGGACCGGTGAAAGTATCACCCTGCCCGGTCATAATAGTATTTTAATATATTGCCCAAAAACAGCGGGCAAAGTATACATAGACCCGGCAATGTTCACATTGACCGAAAGTCTACTTTGCCCGTAACATATACACAAAAAAAGTTTCAATATCTACCGTGAATCTCAAGATCACTGTTTGACCACTTCTTTGAAATATGAATATTGGAAAATCTTTTATATTAGGTACCATTAAAGATTGATCAGAGTTCCGCATTTAAAGTTCGTAAGTTTTGTAGTTTTTGAGAAGTAAGTTAGCCATGATTGAGTGAGTTGGCACTTGGATTATATATATATATATGTATAATATTATATATATATATATATATATATAGAGAGAGAGAGAGAGAGATTCAGTAAATTTTAAATACGTTTTCTGTATTTTATTTTTCAAAATGTAATACTTGTCTTTAATATAATTAATGTACACAAACTATATTATTTCTATTGTACTTAATCGTAATTTTCTTTATGACTATAGGTAAATATTACAAACTATCTCCTTACATGGCAATGAAAGAAATTTTTGATAACGGCCCGATAACAGCCCAGTTTTATATGTACAGAGATTTGGTTGATTACAAATCCGGTATGTTAAAATTATACGTTTTTGTTGTAGTTACATTTAATAACTTTTTTTTTTTAACTCTCAAGGTGTATACCAGTATGACGAGGAGTCAGATGTTAATTTCTTTACTGTCCATAGCGTAAAAATTTTCGGTTGGGGTGAAGAAAATGGTGTCCCGTACTGGTTGGTTGCCAACTCGTTTGGTACAGATTGGGGTGACAACGGAACGTTTAAGATTTCAAGAGGAAATGACGGATGCTTCTTCCAAGAAAAAATGTACGCTGGATTACCATTGTAATAAATATTGTTCATGATGTCATTAAATAATTATCAATGATTCGTGTTCGGCGGTACGATAAATATAAAATAATATAAAATGTAATTTGTACCTACACAATATATTCAATAGGTATCATAATTAATGTATACATTAAATATAATAGGTAATATGTGGAATGTATTATAACAAATTTTATAACATTAAAACATATTATAAGTAATAAGTATATAATATTATATCAACTATACTTATAAATAAAATATAATTAAATATAATCATCATTCAAGTGTTTATATTGTTTGCTCCTACTTATCCTACTTTGAATAGGTAATGTATTTAACATGTTTGACATGTATATAAAATACAAATAAATATGAAATAAAAAAAAATATCACTTCAAAGACTCTGATTTACATTTTGTTTAAGTACCTACCATTGAAAACTGTCA